CTCCTACAGTCTCTGTGGTCCAGGTGGGTCATGGGGTTCCCGCACTGGGAAAACCAAAGTCCCTGGAGATTCTCTGATGTCTGCTGTCCCTTATGTCTCCCTAACCCGACAAAACACAGAGGACCTCGGGGTAGCCCGCCTAGGAATTCCCAGGCTGGGTTAGAGAAGGTGACTCTGCAGCTCCACCGGGCCGGTAGCCCTCCCGGCTGAGCCCCCCGTACCGGAAGTCGCTGTAGGGGTGGATGATCCAGGCCCCGGCGGACTTGACCCTCTCCTGCTCGATTTCCACCGCTTTGTGGCTGCCGAAGACCCGGAGAGAGAACTTGTTGACGGTCGGCTGCAGCAGCGTCCCGAGCTGCCGCCTCTTGGGCTCGGGCGCCGACTCCGGGACCCCGGCTGGGGCCGCGCGGGCCTGGGCGGGAGCGGCGGGAGGCGTCTCGCGCGCGGGGGTCGCCGCTTCGCCGGGCCCCGCCGCCGGCCGCGCCTCCTCCTCCATGACCGCCCTCACTCCAAGGGCCTCCCCAGCGGGTCTAAGGCCATGGCGGGCGCGCTGGTCCCTGGGAGCCCCAGCCAGGCACTCGAGCGAGCTTCCGAGCGGCGTGCGCCCGGGGCGCAGGGGGCGTGTGCAGGCGGCAGACGTGCGGGCGCGGCGCCCCCTGGTGAGTGAGGGCTGCGCGAGACCCGGCGGGGCGGGCCGCGGGCCCCACGGCAGCCCCCACCCCCGGAGAGGGCGTGGCCTGGGGGGGGTGCCGGGTGGGAGGGCGGCTCGCTGCTGGAGGCGGGAAACTCAATAATGGGGCATGTGCAGTCCGGGACTCTCCCGAGGGCCAGGTCACGGAGTGGAAATGTGAGCGGCTTCATCCCCATCCTTGGCCAGGGTATTCTGTTCTGATCATGTCCTGCTCAGCACTCTCTGGGTGTCTTCCTCCTCCTGAGAGCCGCTAAACTTCTTTCCGTAGTATGTTATTCCTGATTCATTAAGTCAACCTTTGTCGAAGGCCGCTGGCTGAGTGTCTGCCGAGGATGCAGAAATCAGCACAGAAATCTTTGCTATGAAGCCAATGGTTCATCTGCATAAACAGATCAACAAACAGGAAAATTCCGTACTACATGCCCTTAAGAGCGGAGCATCTCAGCTTCTTCCCTTTGTTTCCACCTCTTACTGCCACCACCTTAGAAAAGCCTTCTGCAGGCCGGGCGGTGGTGGCACACGCCTTTAATCCCAGCACTTGGGAGGCAGAGGCAGGTGGATCTCTGTGTGAGTTCCAGGAAAGGCGCAAAACTACACAGAGAAACCCTGTCTCGAAGAAAAAAAACAAAAAGAAAAGAAAAAGAAAGAAAAGCCCTCTGCATCTCCAACTAAATCGTTCCAGAAAGTTTCTGTTTTGTTTTTGACGTGGGTTGTAGCTCAGGTCTGTCTTAAACTCCTGGTCCGCCTGCCTCTACCTTTCAAGAGCTGGGATTACAAGTGTGTGCCACTACACCTGATTTTAGAAAAATTTAATAATTTTCAAAATTTGCTAGGCATGTTTGTGCACGACTTTAATCCCAGTACTGGAAGGCAGAGGCAGGCGGGTCTCTGAGTTCGAGGCCAGACTGGGCTCGATATATAGCATATCCCAGTACAGAGAAGGAGGAGGAGGAGGAGGAGGAGGAGGAGGAGGAGAAGAAGAAGAAGAAGAAGAAGAAGAAGAAGAAGAAGAAGAAGAAGAAAAGGTCTTAAATTCTCCTACACCAATTCATTCTCCCAGATCAATTCAATTCAATTTTTTCAGTCTTCAAGTAAACTTTCTTTTCTTTTCTTTTTTTTTTTTTTTTTTTTTTGGTTTTTCGAGACAAGGTTTCCCTGTGTAGCTTTGCGCCTTTCCTGGAACTCACTTGGTAGCCCAAGCTGGCCTCGAACTCACAGAGATCCGCCTGGCTCTGCCTCCCAAGTGCTGGGATTAAAGGCGTGCGCCACCACCGCCCGGCTCAAGTAAACTTTCTACACTCCACATGGAACTGTGGGACTTGCTTAAAGTCCTTAAAAGGTCCCCATTTTAGAAATACATTTAAGCTCCTTAGTAATACTATCACCAGGAATTTGGACTTAGTCTCAACAACTTGTATTTTATATAAATATTATGTATTTTGTGTGTATGAATGTTTATTCCTATGTATGTCAGCACCACGTGTGAGCCTGGTGCCTGCAGAGTAACAAGTGGGATCAGATCCCCTGGAACTGGAGTTACAGACAGTTGTCCGCCTCCATGCAGGTGCTGGGACTTGAACTGGGATCATTTGGAAGAGCAGCCAGTGTTCTTAACCACTGAGCCATCTCTGCACTCCTCAGCAATTTCTCTGCTAGTGGTCTTTCTCTTTCCTTTTTCTTTGTTTTTCAAGACAGGGTTTCTCCGTATAGCCCTGGCTATCCTGGCACTCACTCTGTAGCCCAGGCTGGCCTCGAAATCACAGAGATTCTCCTGCCTCTGCCTCCTGAGTCCTGGTATTAAAGGCGTGCACCACCGCGCCTGGAGAGTCGTCCTTTTCTGAAAAGCCAAAGCTTCAGTTGACAGAGTGCCTTCTTCTGCTGGCTCTGGGCCTCTATAAATAGTTTCCCTGCTTGTTATTTTCTTCCAGTTCTCTTTCCAACAACCTATTCACATCACACCTCCTCTGGGAAAACTAACAACACACATTCCTAATTTTTTTTTTTTTTTTTTTTTTTTTTTACCCTCAGACAGTCTAGAACTTTCTAGAGCAGATAGGGCAGCTCTCTTATTTTTTTTTTAATAATTTATTTATTACTTTATGTAAATTGGTGTTTTGCCTGCATGTATGTCTGTGTGAGGGTGTCAGATCTTGGAGTTTATGTTGTCAGCTGCCATGTGAGTGCTGGGAATTAAACCCAGGACCTCCGGAAGAACAGCCAGTGCCCTTAACCATGAAGCCATCTCTCCAGCCCCAGCAACACTCTTTATACTAGCTCTTGTCACAGGTTTACTTTGGTTGTTGTTTTGATACAGGGTCTTACTGCGCAGCCTTGGCTGGCTTGGAACACAATATGTAGATCAGGATGTCTGGAACTCACACAGAGCCATCTGCCTCTGCCACCATGCTTGGACACCATTATTCTGTTACGGGTCTAGGCCCTCTCCTGCTCAGTTCTCAGACGGATTTTCTGAGGAAAAACAACTTGTGCGGGGTACATGCTGGGCACACGTACAGTGAACAGTCAGTAAATGCTTGGTGAAAATGACCTGGGAAAGCCTCCCTGAGAAAGAAATTAAATTGCTTGCCTAATTCCTTCACACACACACACACACACACACACACACACACACACACACACACACACCTGTTTAGACAGGTCTTTCTATGTAGCCCTGGCTGTCTTCGAACTCATGCAGATATGCCGACCTTGAACTCATAGAGATCTGCCTGCCTCTGTTTCCAGAGTGCTGGATTAAAGGTGTGGGCAATCTGGCTTGACTCTCTTTCTTCATAGGAATTTCTAAACTATTTCTGGCTAATTAGTCTAATCTCCATTTGACTCTTCCACCTAGTTCCACTCTGATTTTCTTTAACTTTAATAGATTTACTGACTGAGGGTTGTTTCCCTCCCAATCCTCCTTTCTGGCAATTTCCTAGTTCCTTTATATTAGCATTGTTCTCTCCTTCCTGTTTTTTTAAAACTACACTTTAAAAAAAAAAAAATTTACGGCCTGCATGTGTACCTGTATAGTACATGCATGCAATGCCTGAAGAAGCTACAAGAGTGTCAAATGCCCTGGAACTGGAGCTACAAGGCTGATATGAGCTGTCATGTGCCTGCTGAGAAATGAACCAGGTCTTTTGGTGGAGCAGCCAGTGCTCTTAACTGCTAAGCTATCTCTCCAGCTCCTCAAACAAACAAAGTTTGCTGTTAAGACAAGAATCTCAAGTATCCCCAGGATAGCTTTAAACTCACTACGTAGCCAAAGATAATCTTGAACCACTGATTCTCCTGCCTCTACTTCCTATGTCCTGGGATTGATTACATGTGTAAACTGTATGTGTGGCTCTGTCAACGGAACCACACCCTGAGCTAGTTTTTGAGACAATCTCAAATTTTTCCAAATCCTCCTGACTCAGCCTTCTGAAAGCTGAGATTATGGGCATTAGCCACCATGCTTAGCTTCGTGCTATTTTCTTTTTTTAATATTTAGTAAAGTGGGGCTGGAGAGATGGCTCGGTGGTTAGGAGTTAGAACTGCTCTTCCAGAGAACCCAGCACCCACATCTGACAGTTTCACAACTGCCTATAATTCCAGGTCCAGGGGATCCGAAGCCCTCTTCTGACCTCCATGAATACATGCATATACCCTGCTACAGACAAATAATTCAAGGTAAATCTAAAAACATAGAGAAGATTCAGTAAATATGTACTTAATACAAATTAGCTAAAACATCAGAGTTCCCCATTCTGGCCCCTAATTCTCCCCTTCTTCCCTGACCATGCACCTGCCCCAAACATAACAAAGAGGGACCTCTCCTTGCTGGCGTTGGGCAGCAGGAGGATGTATCTTCAAGCTATGCTTGAAGAATCTGACTTCACAAAGCCTCACTGGAGTCGATGCCCAATAGTGATACAATGTAAATAACAATCCTTTCCTTAAACCTCCAATATTAAATAAGCCACAAATGTCTTCAGGTGAAGAGCAAGAAGGAGGCATGGGAAAGGATAAGATGCGTAGAGGCCCAACAAACACGTGACAATCTCCTAGTGCCACCCGCCCCGAACCCACAGGTGCACCCAGATCTTTGCGGACTCCCGCGGGTGCCCGGGGAAGCCGAGGAGCACACCAAAAGGGCACGGTGAGCGAGGGCGGAGCCCATCAGAGTCTGGGAAGTGACGCAGGACGTGCGCGCGTACGTGCACGCGTGCGTGCTCGCTCACGGCAGCGGCGGCGGAGCGGAGAGGCCAGAGCCGGAGACCGAGCTGGGATCGGGCCCCGGGCGGGGGCGGTGCGAGAGGCGCCGAGCGGATCCTGGGGGCGGGGACGGAGCCCGGGCGGGCGGGACTGGAGCAGAGCCCGGGAACGGGGCGGGAGGTCCCAGGGCCCCGGGTTGGGGGGTGGAGCCGCACTTCGTCGCCGCGGGGGTGCCGGGACTCCGGCCGCAGTGCCGCCGCCATCACGGACTTCCTGTGGGACAAGCGCACGGGCCTCGCCGCCAGAACGGTGAGCGCGCGGGCTGACGGACCTTGGGGCCGCGGAAAGATGGCTCCCACCAGACGGGCGGCGACGGGATGAGGCGAAATTAGAGGAGTGTTGGGCTCTGGAAGCAGCAGAGTAGCGCGATGAGAGGGAGGAGGGAGGTCGACCGGCCGCGGTGGAGCGGCCAGACCTATAGTAAACTTGGGGGGAGCCGTAGAAGTGATGAGGAAGGGACAGGAGCGGCTCCAGACGTGCCAAAGTTGGACCGAGGGTTTAATGTGAACCGAGAAGTGTTACTTGAAGTGTACAGGAAGAGTTTGACTCTAGGGAATTGTTCTGGGTTTTCTGCGTAAGAAAGTGGAGAAACAAGAATTAGAAGTTGAGAAAGTTAGACTGGATTTGCTTTTCTAGGAGAGGCCCGAGTGACTTTGTTGGTAGGGTGTCCGAAGTGAGATGGCATTTATGTTAATCAAGTTAATCAAGATTGAGTTACCTGGGGAAGTCTCGGGCTTCCATCTTCTTGGTTTTCTGCCAGCCACTTTAGGCCAATGCACTATAGGTCACCTTCCTTAATTTAAGGAGGTTGGGAGGAAGTGGCCCAGGATGGCAACCAGATGTTAGAGTTAAACCTGCAGACCTCATGTTCGGAGTCCTGTACCAAGACTGCCCCTGAGACTCAGCTTTTCCTGGATTATGACAGTGATTTCGTTTCGATCTTTCCCGTTGGCCGTAAAATTACTCATAAACCTTAACCAGTCCAGTTTTATTTAATGGAAGCCCAGCTGTCAGCCAAGTAGTACTGATATTAGTTAAAAACTAGTTTTTAGGGTGTAGCTCACCTAGTATGCTTGAAGCCCTGGGTTGATCTCCCGCTCTGTGTAAAGCCAGGCATGAGACTGCTCTGTAATTCCTTAGAGGTTCAAGGCCATCCTGGGGTGCCATATCAAAATTGAGAACAGCCTAGGATATGTTAAGTCACACTTCTCACAAAAAAAAAATAAGCCAAGTGTGGTTGTGCAAGCCTTTCATCCTGGTACTCGGGAGGCAGTGACTAGCAAGATTTCTGAGTTCAAGTTCAGCCAGGTCTGTATAGCAAGTTCCAGGCCAGCCAGGGTTACGTAAAAAGACCTTGTCTCAAAAAAAAGCCAGGCTGTGGTAGCACACACTTTTAACCTCAGCATTTAGGAGGAATAGACAGTCGGATCTCTTGAGTTCCAGACCAGCCTAGTATACAGAGTTCCATGATAGCCAGAACTACAGAGAAGCCCTGTCTTGAAAAGCCAAAAAGAAAAGAAAAATCTCAGTTATTTTCTTTTTTTGTTTTGTTGTTGTTTTTGTTTTTTTGAGACAGGGTTTCTCAATGTAGTTTTGGTGCCTGTCCTGGTATCTGTCCTGGATCTTGCTCTGTAGACCAGGCTGGCCTTGAACTCACAGAGAACCACCTGCCTCTGCCTCTCGAGTGCTGGGATTAAAGGTGTGTGCCGCTGCCACCCGGCTCTCGTTATTATCTGCTTACTAAATGGTGGTGGTGGTGGGAATATACAGATGGACAACTACTTTGTGGTACTGTTTTACACCTTGGTCAGAGATTTGGCCAGATATGTGAGAAACATTTATAGGAACACACTCTGGTCCCTAAAACCTGCTAGTATTTGGTACCACTTATTTGTAAGATCCTGGGAAACTGAATTCCTGCCCTTGTGGTACTCCTAATCTAGTAGTGAGGGGTGGGATAAGATTTGCTGTTAATAACTTAAAAGAACTGTGTAAACTAAAGCTTTGTTTTGTTTGCTTGTGAAGAACTCAGGATGGCACAGCTGCATATCTTAGATGCAGCAGAGATGAACTGTGGCAATATTTATCAGTCACACACTTGTCATCTGTCATGAACTGTGGCTCAGACCTGAAGGTCTTCATGGAGCCATGTTTGAGGTAGAGCAATTGAATTTGACTTTCTTGAGTTTTCAGCCAAAATTCATAGGTGGCTGTATAGTCCATAAAGGAAAGGTTGTAAACCACGTCTGAGAAGTCTGTGTGATAAGAAGCATAAGAAGGCAGCTTTGTATCTTCAGAAGTATGCTTCTGAAGACTCCGAATGTTCCCTACCGTTCTGCTTTTCCTTCCCTTCCAGATGCCTCATCCCCGAAGGTACCATTCCTCAGAGCGCGGTAGCCGGGGGAGTTACCACGAACATTATCGGAGCCGAAAGCATAAGCGAAGAAGAAGTCGCTCCTGGTCAAGTAGCAGTGACCGGACGAGGCGGCGGCGGAGAGAGGACAGCTATCATGTTCGGTCCCGAAGGTGAGGCCTCAGGAAGAGAAGCTGATTCCAGGTCACTGGTTTATTCGTTTAGTCAATGAATGTTTATTAGTTACATGCTGAGGCCAGTGAGCTAAGCAGCTGGCTGAAGGTGACATGGGCTAGGTGTGTACTTCTGTGGCAGAGCATGTACTTAGCATGCATTTGGTCCTGGGTTCACTACCTGGCATTACAAAAAAAAAGTGTTGGTGGTATATACCTATACTTCCAGTTTGGGCTTCATACCGAGTTTGAGGCTAGCCTGATCTACACAGACTCAAAGAAATATATATAATATATATATTATATTTTTTTTTGGGGGGGGTGCTTTTGTAGAGGAAGTACTTAGGGATGGAAGCTATACCCACCAGGCATTGTTGGAATCCGTCTGGATGTGTATAATTAAGGGGAGGAAACTTCCCTTTTTTTCCTTCTTAAATTGTTTGTGTATGAGTATATTGCCTACATATCTGTCTTACATTTCATGCATCCCTGGTGCCCTCAGCAGTCAGAAGAGGGTATGGGATCCTGTGGAACTGGAGTTATAGATGGCTGTGAGCTTCCATGTGGGTGATAGAAATTGAACTCAGGTCCTCTGCAAGAGCAGCCAGTGCTCTTAACCATTGAGCTGTCTCTAGTCCTTTTCCTTTTGTTCTGAGACAAGGTGTTGCTGTGTAGCCCTGGCTGGCCTAGAACTTCCTTTGTAGATCAGGCTGGCCTTGAAATCACACGAATGTACCTGCTTCCTGCTGGAGCCCTGGGATTAGTGGTGTGTGCCACCATGCCTGACTCATGGAGAACTTTTTAAGAAAGGGATACCTAGGGCCGGGCAGTGGTGGCACATGCCTTTAATCCCAGCACTCAGGAGGCAGAGGAGGCAGGTGGGTCTCTGTGAGTTCGAGGCCAGCCTGGGCTACAGAGTGAGTTCCAGAAAAGGTTCCAAAGCTACACAGAGAAACCCTGTCTCGGAAAAAAAGGGGGGGGGGGCGGCGCGGGGGTGAGGATGATACCAAGCTTGCTGAGTGGGACAGATGAGAATCAGTAGTAGAAGTGAATGTCTTCAGGTGGCAGGGAAGTGCCTATCATGGGCTAATAACTAAAGAGAGCTCATGAGCTAACATGAAAGTTAGGTCTAATAATTCAGTGGTTGGATGGGAGCAAGGCCGGATTTCATTTGGGAACATTGTTCCCTTGTGTCGTTGGAGAGGAGGAGCCCCCAGAAGAGTTCTGCAGGTGCCTCTGGGCAGGGCTTGGTGACAGCAGGTGTGGGAGGCACCCTCTGCTTCCTCGTGTTACTCCTGTGTTGGTTTTTTCCCTAAGATAGGACCTTGTTGCGTGGTGTGCGAGGGCATGTGGCCTGGACTGACACTCCCAATGGGTATTGGTTATCTGACAGCAGCTATGATGATCATTCATCTGACCGGCGGGTATATGAGCGCCGGTACTGTGGCAGCTACAGGCACAATGACTATAGCCGGGACCGAGGAGAGGCCTACTACGACACAGACTTCCGGCATTCCTATGAGTACCATCGGGAGAACAGCAGTTACCGAAGCCAGCGCAGCAGCCGCAGGAAACACCGACGGCGGAGGAGACGGAGCCGCACGTTCAGCCGCTCATCTTCAGTGAGTGCCAGCCCAGGCCTTGCCTCTCCCATTCTTCTTCCGTCCCTCCAGGACCCTGATAAATAAAAAGTCCCCTTGTTCTCAGTCATGCTTTGGAGCATGAGCATTGAAGTGGGCACTGAGTGTGCCCACCCTCCTGGAAGATCTCCAACTCTTGAGGGGCCCCAGATCTACTTTGGGGATAAAAGGGCATGGGACCTTTATGCCCTAAGTGATAGATTGATATGTTGAGCTTGTGTTGGGAGCAGCTGCTCTGCCCAGAGGCCTCTATTTTGATGAGGACCTTGGTTTTGAAAGGCCTGTGTCTCCCAAGCCCTGGGCTCTGTGGCCCCTCAGCAAGCAAGTTTGGGTTGGAGGGCAAGGGAAGACTGCTGCTGCCTAGGAGGGTGCTTCATAGAGCATGGGGTTGTGGGTGACACTGGCAACATCATCACTCTTCTGCTCTGCCCTTGCCTCTCCCTGTCCTGATTTGGGTTTGGGGACTTGGGATTACGCGCCGCTCTCTCTTCTCACACCGATCCGCCTTACCGCATCTGACGTGTTCCCTTCCACTGTCCCCCATCATCGTCTGTCCCCCCTGGCTGGGCGCCTGTGACCGGTGACCCCTCCACCACCCACCCCGTCTCCCTCCGGCCCCTGATCCGACACCTGGCTTGCTCCGACCCCCCCACCCCCCGACAGCAGCACAGCAGCCGGAGAGCCAAGAGTGTAGAGGACGACGCTGAGGGCCACCTCATCTACCACGTCGGGGACTGGCTACAAGAGCGATGTACAAGCCAAATCGTAACAATCCTATAGCCTGTAATGGTCCCATAGCCATCCTAACGTCCCCTGCCAGCCCGAGTCACAGCCTCTTTCGCCTCTTCTCAGTGGTGTTGCTCATCTGGGTGGTTGAGTTGCTGTGGAGAATTGACCTGTCGTCCACTCCCAGCTCTCATGGCCCCTGGGTTAAAGGTGGTGGGAGTCACACAGGGGTTTTCTTCCCCTGCAGCCATCTGTATCTGTTCCCCTTCCTTCATCTCCTCCCCCCAGGTTGCTGTGCCCTGTTCTCTTCCAGTTCATCTCATTCCCCCCTTTTCTCCCTCCCTCTCCCCGACCCTGCTTTCTTTCATTTCAGATGAGATTGTAAGCACCTTAGGAGAAGGGACCTTTGGCCGTGTCGTGCAGTGTGTGGACCATCGCAGGTAACCGCTGGCCTGCTGCTTCCTCCACATCTGATAGGCATGGAAGAGTATGAGGGCATCAGACATGTTTGCAGCTTAGACAGACAGAATTTCTTAGTACTTAAACCGACCCATTCAGTGTGAGATGTCCTTGAACCCGACAAAAGCCTCCCTGTTGACCTACAGGGGCGGAGCAAGAGTTGCCCTGAAGATCATTAAGAACGTGGAGAAGTACAAGGAAGCGGCACGACTGGAGATCAACGTGCTGGAGAAAATCAACGAGAAAGACCCTGACAACAAGAAGTAAGCAGAGGAGTGTGGGAGGAGGCTGAGAGGCTCTCCCTCCAGAAGGAAGAAGGTTCCAGACTCGGCTAGGCAGGCAGGAGAGTGTAGACTGGCCTTGAATTCACAGAGATCCTCCTGCCTCTGCCTCCTGAGTGCTCTGATTAATGGCGTGCACCACCACACCCAACCCATTCAACTTTTGATCACATGAGAGTAGTAGACCATTAGGATAGACCTGTGACATTCTTAATCCACTCCCCTTGTTTTTATGACATGTAGATTGCTCTGCAATCTGGGAATGCACCTGGCAGTGGTGAGCATCACTATTGATGATGCAGGCCTGTAATCCAGCCACTTGGGAGAAGAGGAAAAGACAGATTGGAAGCACAAAGCCTGCCTGGGCTACAAAGCAAGCTCAAGGTGGCCTGGGCAATTTAGTAAGACCTTTTCTCACAACCGAAAAAGGTGCTGGAGAGGTAACTAGGGATGGAGTACCAGCCAACTGTTTTACAGAGTCCTAAATTCAAACCCCAGTACAACACACAGACATGTACAATTTGTTCAGGAAGCTGAGGCAGGAGAATCAGAAGTTTGAGACTAGGGCTGGAGAGGTTCTCAGCAGTTAAGAGTCCATATTACCATTGGATAGGACCTGAGTTTAGTTTCTAGCACCCGTAGAGAAGCGCACAGTATTTCTGGAAGCTAGGCAGTGGTGGCACATGCATTGAGGCAGAGGCTGGCGGATTTCTGAGTTCACGGCCAGCATGGTGTACAGAGTGAGTTCCAGGATAGCTAAGGCCATGCAGAGAAACCCTGTCTCAAAAAAAAAAAAAAAAAAAACCAGCCGGGTGGTGGTGGTGCACGCCTTTAATCCCAGCATTCGGGAGGCAGAGGCAGGCGGATCTCTGAGTTGAAGGCAAACCTAGTCTGTAGAGTGAGTTCCAGTACAGGCACCAAAGCTACACAGAGAAACCTTGTCTCGAAAAAACAAAAATAGCTCTAGGGAAACCCAGCACCTCGGGCCTCCTCAGAAATCTGCAGTCACGTGCACATAACTCACACACACAATTAAAAAAATCTTTAAATGAAAATGTGGGGCTGGTAGTGGTAGACCCTTGATGGGATGTGAAAGGATTTGATCCTGAGCATTAACTGAAGAGCGACAGGCTGTAGGACTTGGTTGAGACTGTGGGTATTTATGCGGTTCACACACAATTGAGGGGCTGAACTTGCATAAAACTGTTATGCAGAAGTTTGATTATTTTATTTGTTTTTCAGATTGTGGATATTTTTGGTTTTTTTTGTTGTTGTTGTTGTTTTGGTTTTGGTTTTGGTTGGTTGGTGGTTTTATTTTTAGGCAGTATCTCATTGTAGTCCAGGCTAGTTTCTCCTCAGCCTTGTAGCCAAAGGCAGGAATAATCTTGAACTCTTGATCCTCTTGACTTAACCTAGAATTATAGAGGTGTCCCACTGCACTGAATTATATGTGGTGTACCAGGTATTAGACTGTACATGCTAGGCAAGTATTTCCCCAACTGAGCTGTATCCCCAACCCAGAGAAGACTTAACAAACCGTCAGTGTAAGCTTGGGCAGCCCCATGGCTGAGAGTAAGTTTCAGGCAGTAGGGCTGGAATGCAGCGGCTTAAGAGTGTGAGACCAGGATGAGCCACATAGGAGTTTCCAGATCAGGCTGGGCTACGGTAGGACCCAGACTTAACAAAAAAGGTGGCTTTGGTAATTGAGAATCCGCATTGTTTGGGATTTGGTGCTGATACCTTTTCAGCAAATAGTTGGGGGCGGGATTGGTTTTTGTTGGTTTGTTTGAGACAGGGTCATGCTACGTAGCCCAAGCTGGCCTCAAATTCATGATGATTCCCCTGCCTCAGTTCCTGAGTGCTCTGATGCACGAGTGCACCACCACACCCTGCTTAACAAATAGATTTGTTCTCCTTGTTTTGAGGGTTGGGGATTGAATGTGAGCAAGTTCTGTATTCCTGAATTACAGCTGCAGTGTAGCCAATAGGTTTTGAACTGCTTAAAATGTCTGGGAGTTTGGCAGGTAGCGCTTTTCGGTTCTTCAAAAAAAGCCATTCTCTAGCTGAACTGAATTTTGTTAATTTTATTATTTTTTTCTTAAGTGACAGGGTATCATGTAGCCCAGGCTATCCTCAAGCTCACTGTGTAGTTGAAGATGACCTTGAGTTTATGATTCTCCTGCCTCCACCTCCCAACTGCTGAGATTACAGGTTCATGCCATCATAACTGTAACATGTAATGCTGCAGATTGAACCTTGGGCCTTGTGCATGCTAAGTAGGTGCTCTACCAAGTGAGCTACATTGCTAACCTTTATTAACTGGCATGTCTGTATACAACTGTGGAATCAACAACTGCAGTCCCTCCTTGTGGTGGGTGGTGGGTGGTGGGAGCTTGTTAGCCATCCAGCTTCCCCATTTTTTCCCAGCCTCTGTGTCCAGATGTTTGACTGGTTTGACTTCCATGGCCACATGTGCATCTCCTTTGAGCTTCTGGGCCTTAGCACCTTCGATTTCCTCAAAGACAACAACTACCTGCCCTACCCCATCCACCAAGTGCGCCACATGGCCTTCCAGCTCTGCCAGGCCGTCAAGTGTGAGTGGGGTGGGCTGAGGCGGACTCTGGGGCAGCGCTTCCTTCCATCAGACCTCTTCTGTGTACTTGTGTGCTGGGCAAGCCCCTAGCCTGTCAGTGTGCCAGCACACCTGGGGCTGTCTTGACATCTCTTCTAACTTCTTGACTGATGTCGTTATCATCATGATTGCTCTTAGTCCACATGACAGCACTCAGTGTCTTTGCCTCATCCCTTCTTTCTTGGAGAAGTGCTGGACAGCAAGCACAAAAGTCCTCTTGCTAGAGTCTTAGGTCTGTGTAATAAAGTGCTTTTTACACGAAGCAGATGGGAGAACACTGAACCATTCGGCTTAGGTGCCAGCTTCAGAATGCAGAGGATTTGTTTTTCTGCATCTTCACAGTGATGCAGTTTTAATTAATGGAGTTTGCAGAATGTCTGATAATTGCGTAGATCAAAGTCAAGACCAAACAAAAAGTCGCACTTTAGCGCGCTGCTGCTTTTCCATCAGATGAACTGTATGTGCATTTTCTATCACTCAGGGTAGAGCCTAGGTCAGGCAGGGCAGAAAGTAGTCCCAGTGGAGTCTGGGCCTGCCTCCTCACCAGCTTTGTCCATGGTACTCAGTCGGGTCAGCTGATGCCAGTTAGCGCTAGCCACCTGGATCTAGCCTGATCTAGCCTTCTCCCCGCAGTCCTCCATGATAACAAGTTGACACATACGGACCTCAAACCTGAAAATATTCTGTTTGTGAATTCAGACTACGAACTCACCTACAACCTAGAGAAGGTAAGATGGACAGGGCCCACCCTCTGTCCAAAGGGGCAGCACCTGGGCACTTGGCTTTTGGTTAGCTCTTTGTGTTCTCCCTTTTACTAGTTTCTCCCTGTCTGGCTCCAGCTGGGTAAAACCAGCGTACCACAATAAGTCAAGAGGGAACAATTTAAGAAGACTTACATAGAAAGACAGTTGGTCAAGTTTCCTAACAGGGTGAAAATGTCCACACTCCCTTTTTTAGATGTGTATTTCTGTGTGGTAGGAAAACTCTGCTTGGCAGCTTGAGGTCTCAGCACCGAAGGTCCTCTTCACCCTTTGTTACATAGTACAGATTTTCAGAACAGTACAGCAGACACTTGAGTCCAGTCTTCGGACACTTGGAGACTTCCATATTATTCCATAATCATTTCTTAGCCTTTTTCCTTTCCTACTCTTAAAGTCCTATGCTGGCACATGCCTGTAATCCCAGCACTTGGGAGGCTCTGAGGCAGGAGGATTGCTGCAGGTTCAAAGCCTGACTGGGGTACAAGTGAAATCCTGTTTTAAACAAACAACAACAAAATACCAGGAGCCCGATTTTCCTGAGTATATGGGAACAGGACTCAGGCTCCCTCGTCTGCGGATCTCGGTTTGGACAGAGGTTCATTCCCACTTGCTTTGCTCCTAGAAGCGAGATGAGCGCAGTGTGAAGAGCACAGCTGTGCGGGTGGTGGACTTCGGCAGTGCCACCTTTGACCATGAACACCATAGCACCATTGTCTCCACTCGCCATTACCGAGCCCCAGAGGTCATCCTCGGTAAGGGAGCTCAGGGCTGCCCAGCGTGTGAGGTGATGTGAGGGTGGCGTATCTTACGCATCCTAATACCTCTTGCTCTCACCACGCAGAGCTGGGCTGGTCACAACCGTGTGATGTGTGGAGCATAGGCTGCATCACCTTTGAGTACTACGTCGGCTTCACCCTCTTCCAGGTAAGTGGAGGGGGGTTACTAGGCCACCCCACATTCTTCTGCCTGGTTTCTTGATCTGCTGAGGACATACCTGCTACTCAGTCCTCCACATCGCCATCTGGCAACCAGTCCCCAGCATTCCTTCTGAGTGCCGGGCTGAGATCTACCTTTGTTTCCCAGACCCATGACAACAGAGAACATCTAGCCATGATGGAAAGGATCCTGGGTCCTATCCCTTCTCGGATGATCCGAAAGACAAGGTGAACCTGAGCAGGAGGGGCTTACCCTTTCCTGTCCGTGGAATTGGTCTGTTGCACACCATTTTCTTTTTCTCATTGATAGTCCCTAGCCCCCGCTTTCACATGGTCAAACAAGGGAACGCAGCTCATAAAAGGGGAACCTTTTTATGCAACAACCTCCCCTTCCCCTCTAGAAAACAGAAATATTTTTATCGGGGTCGCCTGGATTGGGATGAGAACACATCGGCTGGGCGCTACGTTCGTGAAAACTGCAAGCCACTGCGGGTGAGCCTGGCCAGGGGTACATATTGTCCACAATCTAAAGGTTGCGTCCTTCTTAGGGTGGTTTGCCCCTGGAATGGATTTTATAAGCAGAAGGTTAGGACAGGAGGGGAGGGGAAAGAAGATGATCTGATCAACAGTGGAGAGAGACGGGAATGGTTTCACAGAGGCAGGGAGGTTAGCTAGCCTAACTCGAGACAGACAGATCAAAGCAGAGTCAGGAAAGAATAAGCTACCTTTGAAGAGCTTACGTTTTAATGTGAGCTAAAGAAGAGTCATGAAGTTGACAGGGATTACAAGTAAGACTATAAAGGAGGAATTGTGCTAGTAGGGAGTTTGAGCTGTAAAATCAGAAACATTGGTCAAAATGTGGTTGTGGTAAGGTAGCATTCAAATTGAATGCAAACTGAGCCAGAAAGGGAAGGTAGGGCTTGAAAGGAGGCAGAAGGCTCGGGATGATGGCACAGGTTTGTAATCCCAGCACTTGGGAGGCTGAGGTCAGAGAATATTGAGTTCAAAGTCAACTGCAGTGCGTAGTTACAGAACAGCCTGGGCTACGTGGAGACCCTATCTTAAAAGGAGAATGGAAAGGAAAGAAAGAATAAAAGTTATGAGGCTTTCCCTTATTCCTGCCCTCCACCAGCGGTATCTGACCTCAGAGGCAGAGGAACATCACCAGCTCTTCGATCTGATTGAAAGTATGCTAGAGTATGAGCCTGCTAAGCGGCTGACCTTAGGTGAAGCCCTTCAGCACCCTTTCTTCGCCTGCCTTCGGACTGAGCCACCCAACACCAAGTTGTGGGACTCCAGTCGGGATATCAGTCGGTGACAATCAGGCCTTGGACCCCCTGCTTCTTGTGCAGCAGTGGGTGTCCAGTCCAGGACACTGGTGCTTTTTTATACACGAGAACAGAGCCAGAACTCGCCTCCTCTCCTGCCCCTGGCTCCTTTATACCTGTAAATATGTGAAATAGTGTATATATGACAGAACTTGTACCTATCACTTCAACCCCTGCCTTGTATATACTGCTCTTTACACTCTTCCAACCTCATCTGCCCCTCATGTGGAGTTGGATGGGGGCAGAATGAGGTAACCAGGTGGTGTCTACCCATGTTTTATAAGGGATTTTGTACAGTCTTTGTGAAATAAAATTACATGCTTCATCTGACCCCCATCCCTGGAATTTGAGGTTCAAGGGTACTGGGGTAACGGGGTAAGACGAGTGGTAGCCATTCTGAATTTGGGTACAAGGGTCCAAAGGCAGAGCCTCTTTCCCCTGCCAGGTTAGAGCCAGACTGATTTCAAATGCACTTTGTATTCAAAGGTAGTGAAGATTGAAACAAATACAATCAGGTAGAACTTGTGTGATCTGGAGTAGCTGGTGTTGGGAAATAGCTTTGACCCTTTAAATAAGTGGACATGTGACGGTAGCAATGAGGCTGTCCCCTCTAATAGAACCCGAACCCCATATAGAAAACTCAGTCTCCCGCCACTGGCCAGTGCAGGGATTTCCCATCAGTGCTGCTTGACGTGAGGCTACCTGGGATAAGTAGTTCTTTCCTGCTAGAAGTCACGTGGGTGGAAGTGCGGCGCTAGGCTGCTGAGACTGGCTGAGTGTTATCACGTGAGGTACTTCCCGCTTTAGGTTTTTTTTTTAACGCAGGCGCAGTTCGCTACTACTGCGGGAATCTAGGTGACTCTTCCGGTTGGTTCAGCCAATTGGCGCACAGAGAAGCGGGTGGACCGAGCGCACCGGAGGGAGTTTTCGGGGCCTCCGCCGCTGTACTGCCGCGGCAGGGGCGTGGAGGGCAGGGGCGGCCGGGCTCAGTTGCAAACATGGCTCAGAGCAGAGATGGCGACAACCCATTCCCCGACTCCGGCGAGCTTGACAATCCCTTTCAGGTGACTTGCGCCGGCCTCTTGGGGCAGTCTTTTTTCCCAGTTCTATGGGGTCGGACTGCTATTCCCATCCGTGACATTTGACCCAGGGAAGGAGTGTCGCTACGTAGAGGTGACGGTAGCTCCAGACCAGTGAGCATTTGGGGGGGCTAAGGGGAAGTGGGCTCTGCCGAGTGGGTAATGAGTGGGTTCTAGCAGTGTAGGGTGATGATGGACTTGAAGGCAAATGCTGGGGACAACGGCGTAGCGCCGAGGGCTCAGTACCTGGAGCCACGAGCAGTTTCAGGAAGTTCCTAGGAATTCCCTTGGCACCGACTGCCCGCTGAGCCCCAGTCTCTGCTCTCAGGACCCGGCTGTGATCCAGCACCGACCCAACCAGCAGTATGCCACGCTTGATGTCTACAACCCTTTTGAGAACCGAGAGGTGAGCAGGAGCACAGGATAGCAGGGAAGGGGGTGTGCCTTACGCTCGGGGTGTCCATGCTGGGTTGGTTGGTTGGTTGGTTTATATATGCAGAGAAAAGATGAAGTGCTGTGCTTTTTAACGCACCTAGAGACGCCAGTCAGGGCAACGGTGCCATCTAGTTTTGATGAAAAGTCAGTCTAGGGAGGACCTTCGGTCTGTGGAAAGACTTACCTGAAGTGAATCAAGGTTGGGGCTAGTCAGGGTTGAGAAACCTGCTGAGGTGTGCGATGAGAGGCCAAACTATGAGGAGGACTTGTAGAAACTGGTTATTAGAAGGAGTTAAAGGGGGAGCTATGGGGATGTAGCTCAGCTGGGAGAGTGCTTGCTATCAAGTGCACTGCCCTGGATTGCTCCACAGCACTCCATAAACTGTGTGGTGACACGGGTGTGTGATCCTAGCACGTGAGAGGTACAGGCAGGAGTGTTAGAAGTCGAGGGTCATCCTTGGCTAGTACCAAGTTGTCTCGGGGAGGGGGGAAAGGGATGGCTTAGTTGGGAAAGGCTCAGCTTGTTTCCTAGACTAACAAGCTGCGTTCAGTCCCCCAAGAACAATGTGATGCAGAAGAACGCAAGTTCCCACTGCTTGTCCTCTGACCTCCACATCATACCACACACGAACTCACACACAGTGAGTACATGAATGTAATTTTTAAAGTTGAAAAACTTGAGGTGATACGTGGATAAATGCTTTAAGGTGTTGCTGAAGCATCGGATAACAGGCTGTGGCCAGGCCTGCTGCAGGTCCTGAAAGAATTGTCCAATTTAAATTCACACATGGCACAGGGCTGTCAATCCCAGTGCTTTGACTGAGGCAGGAGGATTGCAAGTCCTAGACCAGCCCAAATGCCTGTTGTTTCAAAAAGAAAACAAAACAAACAACGAGGAGGTTCCTAACCTGTAGGAGAAGAGCTGCTGATGTGGGTGATGCGTTCTGGTTGCAGATGATGTCAAGCAGACTAGATCATGGTGTTGTTACAAGGGCTTAGCTGATCTCAAAGGCTTGTTTGTTTCCAACAGCCCCCACCAGCCTATGAGCCTCCTGCTCCAGTCCCAGCCCCGCTGCCTCCACCTTCAGCTCCCTCTGTACAGCCCTCGAGAAAGCTCAGCCCCACAGAGCCCAAGAACTACGGCTCCTACAGCACCCAGGTAAGGGGTGTGCCGGGGCAAGGAAAGAAGCCTGGGCTGGGTAGGCCTGGACTCACATACGCCTCTGTGCATGCTCTGTAGGCTTCTGCCGCAGCAGCCACCGCTGAGCTACTCAAGAAGCAGGAGGAGCTCAACCGGAAGGCAGAGGAGTTGGACCGCCGGGAGCGAGAGCTGCAGCATGTTGCCCTGGGAGGCACAGGTAGCAAGTGGTCCTGGTTAGCGGGAGAAAGAGCGCTTGACAGTTTGGGAGGAGCTGCAGAAACATCTTTTGTTTGTTTGGTTTTTCCAGTCGGGGTTTCTCTGTGTAACTGTCCTAGCTGTCCTGGATCTCGCTCTGTAGACCAGGCTGGCCTCAAACTCAGAGAGATCCTCCTGCCTCCGCCTCCGCCTCCTGAGTGCTGGGATTAAAGGCGCGCGCCACCACCGCCCTGTTCACAAAAACATCTTGAGAACATCAATCAATTCATCCATCAATCAGATTGTTAAAACTGAGTTATAATTTAAGTTGGCACTGCTTCTTAGCCATGGGCCCTTAAGCAGTTACATAATGGGTTTTTTAAAGATTTACTTTTTTTTTTTTTTTTTTTGGTTTTTCGAGACAGGGTTTCTCTGTATAGCTTTGCGCCTTTCCTGGAACTCGCTTTGGAGACCAGGCTGGCCTCGAACTCACAGAGATCCGCCTGCCTCTGCCTCCCGAGTGCTGGGATTAAAGGCGTGCACCACCACCGCCCGCCCAAGATTTACTTATAATATCTTTAGTTTATGCGTATGAGTGTTTTGCCTGCATGTATGTAAATGCATCCATATGTGTGCAGTGTCCATGGAGGCCAGAAGAGGGCAGTAGACACACCTCCACACGCCCACCCCCACTGGAGCCGGGGTTACATGATGTAAACCCCCGTGTGGGTGCTGGGAACCAAACCCTGCACCTGTGCTGAAGCAGCCAGTGCTCCTAACCACAGCGCCATCTCTCCAGCCCTTGGGTGATAATCTTAGAAATCCCACCACTGAGCTATGCCCCAACCATTTGGTACTCCACCCCACCCCACCCCCAGGGCCTTGTGCTTGCTAGGCAAGCACTCTACCGCTAAGCTAAATCCCCAACCCCATTTGGTACTTTATAGTGAGCGCTTCAGTTTCCTATTTTCTAAAACCTTCTTCTCGTTTTACAAAGCAGGAAACTGTGAGGGTCGAATAGAATCACCTTTGCAGAGTCCACGGCATGACCCTCAGATATTTCCAGTAACTGTTCGCTTACTAATTCCTTTTCTGTTCTTTGTTCTGTGTTGGAAGAGTCTTCCTGTGTAGACCAGGCTGAGCTGGAACTTTCTGTCCTCCGGCCTCAGCCTCCTCGGTGTGGGGTGATAGGCATGCTCTGCTGTGCCTACTGCTTTCCACTTTGTTTCTTTGGACCCGTGATTGAGAGGCCTTAGGAGTGTGTGTGTGTGTGTGTGGGGGGGTGTCCCTTACTGATTTGCACTCATTTTTGAGGTCTTCCTCCTGTTTTTCCCTTACAGCTCGACAGAACAACTGGCCTCCCCTACCATCTTTTTGCCCAGTTCAGCCTTGCTTTTTCCAGGACATCTCCATGGAGATCCCCCAAGAATTTCAGAAGACAGTATCCACCATGTACTACCTCTGGATGTGTGAGTGTGAGAAGTCTTTGGGAGACATTACAGATCCATCTGTTAAATGCCCCAGAACACACTCTGACGTTTCTTCAAGAACCTTTGGGTTACTCTTCTCATTGTGTGTGTTCTTAGGCCCCCTTTCCCTCTGTCACCGTCCATAAATGGATTCTGAATTCTTGCAAATTTGTTTTCACGGAGATCATGTCTGATCTGTGGGGTTGATTCTCCAGGGCGTGGGCCCATCCTCTCATGCTGCCGCCACACTGGGGAGGCATGTTTGATAGGCTTCATTGCATTCCAGCAAGTCCCTTCACCCTGTCCCTCTGCCCCTCAGGCAGCACTTTGGCTCTTCTCCTGAACTTCCTAGCCTGCCTGGCCAGGTTCTGTGTGGACGCCAGCAGCGGCTCAGGCTTTGGACTGTCCATGCTCTGGCTCCTCCTTTTCACTCCCTGCTCCTTTGTCTGCTGGTACCCGCCCGATGTATAAGGCCTTCCGGTAAGTGACGGGGCGTGGCGGATCTGCAGTGGCTCCTGAGGCCGCCCCTCCAACCCTAATCTTCTAACTCTCCCACACTTTGCTTTTTTTCTCTTTACAGGAGTGACAGTTCATTCAATTTCTTCGTTTTTTTCTTCATTTTCTTCGTCCAGGATGTGTTCTTTGTCCTCCAGGCCATTGGCATCCCAGGGTGGGGCTTCAGGTGTGTGAGTTGCCATCTGTCCTCCCCCACCTCCTCCCCCCACTCCAGGCAATTCAGTTATAAGGTAGAGTTGTCTTATACCCACAAGCAAAAGGGCATGTGGGCTTTCTCCAGAGAGGCTAATTGAGCAAGAAGTCAAGATACTTGGCTAGAGAACCCAGAGAACTCTAGACAGGCAGCAACTGAAAAGAGGTCTTCCTGGGGAGGCCATGTCATCACAGTGGAAAAAAGGGAGCACTCTCAAGAGAGAAAATTCTCTTCTGAAGGAGGAGCCAGGAGAGTTGGGAGCTAATGCTTCAGAAGTGAGTTAGAAATGTGAAGAGAGTAGATGTAATGGGACTGGTTCATAGAATGCCGCCATATTGACAGAGGAGTGAGCACTGATGGGCATACCCAGTGAACAGTGGGGAAACAGAGCCCCTGCGGAGGGCAGCCCCTCCTCACCAGCACTCTTCCCTCACAGTGGCTGGGTCTCTGCCATCGTGGTGCTGAGAAACAACACAGTGGTGGCTGTGCTCATGCTGCTGGTTGCCCTGCTCTTCACCGGTGTCGCTGTGCTGGGAATTGTGATGCTGAAGCGGGTGAGGGACTGGGTGGAAGTGGGGGTGGGGCCTGATCGTGAGTCCCTAGGGGGTACAGAGTGGAACATTAGGAAGGAACTGGGGCAGGACAGCAGAGGGGCGGGTTCTCAACTAATGGACTTGCTTGGGTGAGGGAATGTATGTGTTTGGAGGGAGTGCCATCCCAGAAGGGAAGCCAGAGCAGCAGGCTGGTGAGTGGTGGTGGTGTCAGCTTGGGGTGGGGTAGGAGGGACTTGCCTACGTTGTAATGTCTCTGCCATCTTCTTGCAGATCCATTCCTTGTACCGCCGAACGGGCGCCAGCTTCCAGAAAGCCCAGCAAGAATTTGCTGCTGGTGTCTTCTCCAACCCAGCGGTTCGAACTGCCGCTGCCAATGCAGCTGCAGGGGCTGCTGAAAATGCCTTCAGGGCCCCATGACCGCCACTGGGAGGCCCTGACCCTGCCACCTGTGGGAACTAAGATAGTCCCTGTCCCTGAAGTCTCTGGGATTCAGGGAGGCATTGCTACTTAATGACTTCTATGGGGCTCTTAATTCCACAGCCATGAGGCCAAGCCTGAGTCGGAGGTGTGGGAGCCCACTGCGACTCGGTCATTACTTGCCTTTGTCCCCCATCTGACAACACGCCGCGCCTCTCACACACCCCAAGCCCAGTTTCCCTGCTGTGCCAAGGATGTCTCTTCCGTTATTTAAATTAAAAAAGAAAAAAAAAAGTGTAACTGAAACTTACCCATTTCCTGGATCTTTACTGGAGATTAGGACTTTTGAAAGTGTTGAGAGGGGGACTGGAGTGGAAAGACAGACGGCAGTGTCTACAGGAGAGGCTGCACTAAACAAACTGGGTGGGATGACAGGAGGCCTGCGACACGGGGAGCCTCAGCTCAGTCAGTTGCCACCCCTTCCCATTGATGATGGGCAGTCAGCCACCTCTGCGGAGAACTCTGCATCCTGGGAACCTGAGGTGTTGGGTAGGGTGAAAAATGGGCACAGAAATGATCCTTGACCAGCCAGGCTTCAGGACGAGGCTAGGGTTGCAGGAGGGCCTCTCCCTATCTCCTCCCCTCTCCAGGGTTGCTTTCGGACTACAGCTCCCGGGATGCATTGCACCAGCCACCACACCCCTCCTCCGCACCACGCACCATCCCCCACCCTCCCACCCCGCCTCTAGAGCCTGACCTGCTGCAGCTGGAGGAGCTAAGGGAGCAGAGCGTGGTGGGGAGGGGAGCGGGCCTCGGGACCCTGGAGACAGTTTCCGCGGCCTCTCCCCACCAGGCGGCCCCGGATCACCAAAGGCACCTCTAGTCCCTGCATGCAGACCTTCCTCCTCCGCTGTAGACTTTGCATCCCTCTTTGCCCTCCCCACCCTTCCCTGGGCTCCGGAAAGCTCCTCTATCTTCAGTCTGGGATCAGCCCTTCTCGGCACCCCTCTTCATTAAGGAAATGCAATGAGCCGGTGCCCTCGCGTCCTCATCGCTGCCCCGGGCACGGTACCCGTCTGGTGGTGGGGAGGGAGCCCCTCACTGTCCCTTCGTGACGCCCCTCCTTTGGGCCTTCCTCCAGCTAGCGTCCCTGGGCGATGCCCCAGAGGACCTAGCCAGGAGGTGGGCTTTACAGCAAGGGCGCTGGAAAGGATAAAGAACGGGGCTTTGGGCACCTCTGAGATGCTCCCAAGTATCAAGGGGGGCCGAGCGAGGTATGGGCAACCGGGCGCCAGGCATGATGCCCTCGCCTAGTGACTCCAGCCGCTCGCTGACCAGCCGGCCCAGTACCCGGGGCCTTACCCATCTCCGCCTCCACCGACCCTGGCTGCAGGCCCTGCTCACGCTGGGGCTGGCCCAGGTGCTCTTGGGCATCCTGGTGGTAACCTTCAGCATGGTGGCCTCCTCTGTCACCACCACCGAGAGCATCAAGAGGTCCTGCCCGTCTTGGGCTGGGTTCTCGGTGAGTTGGGTAAAGAGTGCACAGTAGTGGGGTGGGAAAAGCTGCTCAGGCCCCACCCCTCCTCACCTGCAAGCCTACAAGCTTGTTTTTCCTTCCTCTCCCGGTCCTCTCCCTCCTTGCAGGGCTGGGTGCATCCTGTGGCGAGGGGTTCTCTCAGGTGCTCCCCCTGCCAGGCTAAGCTTGTACCCACTCTGTCCCTAGCTGGCGTTCTCCGGGTTGGTTGGCATTGTGTCCTGGAAGCGTCCATTCACTCTAGTGGTAGGTGCCAAGGCCCAATGCCCACTGGGAGGCAGGTGCTCAACACCAGAGGGGATAGATACCCTTTATGCCCTCAGGAAAGGAATTGGTTTTCCAGTTGGTGCTAGACTGGCCGAAGGTGTCTCTTAGGAAAAGAGGGTGCCTCATTCTGTGGAAGAGGAGTGCTGGTGAAGGTCCCAGCCCTGAGGTGACATCCTCTTCCCCCAGATCTCGTTCTTCTCCCTGCTTTCGGTGCTCTGTGTCATGCTCAGCATGGCTGGCTCTGTTCTCTCCTGTAAGAACGCTCAGCTGGCTCGGGACTTCCGAGAATGCTCCATGGTGAGATTTGAGGTGGGAGGCCTAGAAAGGACTGGTTAGGGGAGGTGTGGGGGACCCCCGAGTTTGCTCTGATCCAGGCTGCCTTGCCCTTTCCACTCCCACACAGGAAGGGAAGGTCTGCGTGTGCTGCCCCCCAATTCCTCTACACAGACCCTGCCCACAGTGGGGCCAGGAGCTGAAAGTCGCCCTTAACTCCACCTGTGATGAAGCGCGAGGGGCCCTCAAGGTGAACATGCGCCCCCCCCCCCCCCGCACCCCCATTCCTGCCTCCTCCACTATCATCCCGGTTCTCCTCCTTGCCTCCTCTCTGGGGGTTCTCAAAGGCTCCAGTGTCGGGGGTTGACCCCTCCCGGGCCCTGTACTCCTCACCGTCATCATCATCGTCGTCGTCATCATCGATGTCTTTCCTTCTCCAGAACTTGCTCTTCAGTGTCTGTGGCCTCACCATCTGTGCCGCAATAATCTGCACCCTGTCAGCTATTGTCTGCTGTGTCCAGATCTTCTCCCTGGATCTGGTGCATATGGTGAGAAGGAGGCAAGGCCCAAGCCCACAGGGCTGGTGGCAGGCAGCGGGGGTGGTGGGGGGGGGGGTGCTGGGACTGGGCTTGGACTTGCAAAGCAGTCGCTACAGGTCTGGGTTTTTGAGCTTGGGGCTCTGGGTCACCTGAGGATATTTATTACAGAGATGTGGGGGGCCAAAGGGAGTGGGGAGGACTGGATGGGGTGAGATCAAGAAGGTCCCAGATGGAAGTAGGGGTAAAGGATGGACAGTCCTGTGGTGACAGCAAGCAGGTGATAATTATGGATAGATGTGAAACTAAAAGAGAGATTGGTGGGTAGAGCCAGAGCTGGAGGTGCCGAGTGGGCACAGGTTGAAGAAGCAACTGGGTGTGGTTCTGAAGGCTTGGAACTGGATCTTCCTAGTGGCGTTAGGACCATAAAAATAGCAGAAAGGAAAGAAATTTGAAACCAGGCTTGCTCCCCAGCAGCTGGCCCCTGAACGCTCAGTCTCAGGCCCTCTAGGGCCCCTGGCTTGCACATCGTCGCCTCCAGCTCCTCTACTCCACACCATGCTGGACCTGGAGGAGTTTGTCCCACCTGTGCCCCCTCCACCCTACTATCCTCCAGAGTATACCTGCAGTTCAGAAACAGACGCACAAAGGTAAGACTGGGTGAGGTCTTGCTGGGGACCCGAGGAGGAGGAGGACTGGGGCTGGGCCTGGATTGGTGGGGAGGCATAGATGTGGAGTAGGAGCTATTTTCCAGGCCCTGATCCTCTCCCTCATCCTGCCAGCATCACATATAATGGCTCCATGGATAGCCCAGTGCCCTTGTACCCTACTGATTGCCCTCCTTCTTACGAGGCCGTCATGGGGCTAAGAAGAGACAGCCAGGTAAGGAGAGGGCTCGGTGCAGCTGGGAGCAGTAGAGAGAGCCTGGAAAGCTGCTTGATTTAGGATGCCAACAGTTCCCATGATCTCTGTAGCACACCCACCTCATCTTTGATCTGCCCTAGAGCTGCTGAGGTGGGTGGGAGATGGACTAGTATTCCTCTATTAAAGATGTGCTGCTGGGTAGGATGGTTCACTCCTGTAATCCTAGCACTGGGGAGGCAGAAGCAGTAAGTGCTACAAGATCGAGGGCAACCTGGTCTACTTAGAGAGTTCTAGGCCCACCAGGGCTTCAGTGACCTTGTCTCAAAAGATAAAGACAAGGAAACTAATGGCCTCACAAGTGACGCATGCAAAGCCAACTGTGGTGGCATATGCCTATCAATGCAGCACTTGGGAAGTGGAGGCAGCAGGATTAGGAGTTCAAAGGCTAGCCTAGGCTACTCAGCAAACCCTGTCTCCAAAAAACCAACCAACCAACCAACAAAAATCAGCTAACTCATACAGAGTGACGAAGCTGGTCTAGACTCTAGTCTCCAGAGCTCTTTCCAGTGCATAGGAATGGTCATGCCAGTGTGAAGGGCTGGACTTTCGATCCTGTGTCTTCTGCAGGCCACTCTGTTTGATCCTCAGCTTCATGACGGCTCCTGTGTCTGTGAGCGGGTGGCCTCCATTGTAGATGGTGAGCAGAGTCGGGTTGGAGGGGACCAGGGCAGGGTGGGGCCATAAGGAGGGAAAAACAAGGTTGAGCTCAGCTGATGGTTCGGAGTTGGAGACTGTGGCCTCTTAGAACCCTGGGCCTGTCTCCTTGAGGATAACGCTGGAGTCAGACTGGCTCATGAAGAGCAGGTGCCCTCCTGCAGCCCTACCTTGCGCTCTGTCCCTTGCCACCCACAGTGTCCATGGACAGCGGGTCCCTGGTGTTATCGGCCATCGGCGACCTCCCGGGGGGCTCCAGCCCCTCAGAAGACTCATGCCTGCTGGAACTCCAGGGCTCTGTGCGCTCTGTCGATTACGTGCTCTTCCGCTCCATCCAGCGCAGCCGAGCAGGCTACTGCCTTAGCCTGGACTGCGGCCTGCGGGGCCCCTTCGAAGACAGCCCCCTGCCACGGCGGCCCCCACGGGCTGCCCGCTCCTATTCCTGCTCGGCCCCTGAGGCCCCACCCCCGCTGGGTGCCCCCACGGCTGCCCGCAGTTGCCACCGGCTGGAGGGCTGGCCGCCCTGGGTGGGACCGTGCTTCCCGGAGCTGAGGCGGCGGGTCCCCAGGGGAGGCAGCCGCTCCGCTGCACCCCCTCCTGCCCGAGCCCCAGCTCGACGCTTCAGCGATAGCTCAGGTTCCCTCACCCCACCCGGGCACCGGCCTCCTCACCGGACACCCCCGCCACCACTGCTGCTGCCCAGGTCTCACAGCGACCCGGGCATCACCACCACCTCCAGCGACACTGGTGAGCCACACACCCTCCCCTGCTTCAGGGAAGGGTGACCGCTAGGATGGGGACCCTGTGAGGTTCCTGAGGGGGGACGAAGGTGATGTACTCCTGCGGTGCCCATCCTGAGTACTCACCTCTGAGGGACAGAGGCCTCGGGGCTAACCAGGAGGAGGACTTGGTTCCTGAAACCATGTCCGCAGCGCCTAAGCCTGGGCTGCATAACCGCTCGGGTATAGAAACAGATCAACCGACATAGTTCAGGGTCACACAGGAAGTGCCCCAGGTCCCATCTGGGGACCCTAGACAGAGCTGGGGGGCCACAGCAGTGAAGGACAGCACTGGGGAGCCCATCTTCCTGCGTTACACCGTCTAGTTGTGGGCAGAAGTGATTGCCCCTTGAATGGCGATGGAGTGCAGAACCAGGAGAATCCCCTTGAGCCTGGGCGCTCACGGGGTGGTGGGGGGTGCGTGGGAGGAGAGGCGTGTTCATGTAGCGCTCACGCCGGTCCTTTTTTCCTCTCCCCAGCTGACTTCAGGGACCTTTATACCAAAGTGCTTGAGGAAGAAGCTGCCTCCATCTCCTCCGCAGACACAGGTCAGGCGTGTGGCGGGCGGCTGGCGGGTGTGGCCCCTGCGTGGCCTGCACACCTTCCCTGCTTACTCTGTCTCTGCAGGGCTCTGCTCTGAAGCCTGCCTTTTCCGCCTAGCCCGCTGCCCTTCCCCCAAGCTGCTACGTGCCCGCTCGGCTGAGAAACGCCGCCCAGTGCCCACCTTCCAGAAGGTCCCCCTGCCTTCAGGTCCTGCACCTGCCCACTCTCTAGGGGACCTGAAAGGAAGCTGGCCGGGCCGAGGCCTGGTCACTCGTTTCCTCCAGCTGTCCAGGAAGTCCCCGGATCCCGCCGGGACGGCAGCCCATGGCCATAAGCAGGTATGTGTCAGAGGAGCCAGGAGACATCACTGGGCCTTAGGTTGGCCCGTACCCATGCCCTCTTCCGTGCCCCCTTCCAGGTGCGCAGGAACCCGTGGGGACGGCCAGGTCGGGAGAGCCTCCACCTACGCAGCTGTGGTGATTTGAGCTCCGGCTCCTCCCTGAGGCGACTCCTCTCCGGCCGCCGGCTGGAGCAAGGCGTCCGCCCACACAGCCTCAGCCTCAATGGAGGCAGCCGAGAGACTGGGTTCTGATTCCGGATGGTACCAATGAACAGATCCAGATGAAGGCTGGAGGCACGGGCCGTCGACTGGTTGGGACCAGCAGCCCTGTGTACTGGCTGGCTCAAAAAGAAACCCGCTGTATACCCTCCCAAGGCGTCCCCTTCCTGCCTGCCTTTGGGGGCTCCGCTGCTTGCCTCTGTCCCTCTGGAGGGCAGAGCTTCTGCCCTGTGCTGCATGGGTGTTGAAGCTGTGGAAGGAGACGCCCCCCGCTTACAGCGTTGATGGAAGAACCTTAGTAAACTCCCCCAGCATGAGCGTGCCTCTTTCTGGTAGTCCATGGCACTGTATGGGGGGCAAAGGGATGAGTATTTGAGATCAGGTTGATTTGTGCCTTGACATGTGGTGGTAGGCGGGCAAGAAGAGACAGGAATCTAGGTGGCTTTGGGCTCTGCCACCTCCTGCTGCATGACCTCGGGCAAGTTAGTTAACCTTAATTGCCTGACCTGTGAAACATTGTGAACGTGAATGTTTGTAACACTGAGTAAGCCTTCAATAAATTTCAGTTTCTCCCTTTTCTTTTGGACTGTTCTGTTGTTTAAGCAGACTTGGAGTTTATTAAAGACATTTTAACGTAGAGGGTTTTTT